AAAAAAAAACAACTCGGCCTCAAAGCTACAGCAAGAAGATGAAAAATATTTAAAGGTTTGATCCGGCAGGAGAGTTTAAAGCATTGCGGAGTTTTATAGGCCCGTGACGTCAGGCGGGACACGGGCTCGGGGCCGGGCCAATGGGCGCGCGCCGCCCGGCCTCATTAGCATAAGAGTATAGCGACAGGGAAACTTTCCGGGCTGTCAGTCAGGGCTCAGCTGACTGTCAGCGCCCGCTTAACCCCCTCCTGGCCGCCCCGGGCTCGGCTCGGCTCGGCACGGCACGGCACGGCACCGCCGGCCCGCTCCGCCCGCCCCGCACCGCACCGCACCGCACCGTGCGCACCGCGGGCGAGCGCCCTGCCCCGGGGCGAGTGCCCGGGAGCTGCCCCTGAGCCCGGCCCGGCACCCCGGGACGCGGGGGAGCTCCCTGCGGCCGGCACGGAGGAGGGGGAGCGCCGGGTTCGGTACCCCGGCAGTGTCCGGGCGGGAGCGGGCAGCGCGGGGCTCCGCCGTGCCCGGCGCGGGTACCTGCGGGCGGCCGGGCGGCYCTTCCCCCGTGCCGGCCGCGGGTCATCGCTCCGCTCCCCGGCAGCGCCCCGGTCACTTATTGATTATTTTGTTACGGGGACGGAGCATCGATCCCTCCATCCCCCACGCCCGCCCGGAGGTGCGAGAGCCCCGCAAGTTTGCAAACCTCGCGTTCCCCTCGCCCCCCTTCCCTTCCCATTCGGCGTGCCGGCCAGGATTAATTAATTTAATACATTTAGAACTAATTGTATTTACTTTCGCCTCTCCCCCAACCCCCATTCCCCGCCGGGAGGGGGCTGGGGCCGGTCCGGGGGCCGAGGAGCGGCGGCGGCTGCAGCGGAGCGGCGGAGCGGCTCGGTTCGAACCTCGACAGCGCCATCTCTCGTCCACAGGTCAGTGACGAGCGACGGGACGGGACGGATGGGACGGGACAGGACAGGACGGGTCCCCCTCGTCGTGTCCCGCCCGCCCCCGCGGTCCCGCCCGGCCCCGGCTGCACCCTCCGTGTCCCGCCCGGGCCGGGGAGATCCGCAGCCTCCGGGGCTGMCAGGCTCGATTTTCCGACCGGGCTTTATGGGAATATCGATAGAATTAAAGTTACTTGTAATTCCGTGATAAATGAGATGTCTCTAGTAAGTAAGATTAAGTGCGGTGCTATAAAGTTGTTTATCTGAAAAGTAATTCTCAGAAACCTGACTTCTGACACTTGGTCATATATTAAACCTGCTTCTTGAACATTGTACTTCAAATCCTCCCTTCTCCCCTAGCCCGGTCCCTTCCCCCCGGAGTTTGCTATTTATAACCCCGCTCAGGGTATCACTCTGTAGGTGCGGGCAAGGCTCTGGGTGATTTTTCACCGACTGTGAAAGTCATCATTTGCAAAAGCCAGAGAATCTCTGCTTAGGAAATAGCACTTGGCGAGTGGATTTACGAATGGATAACATCTTCTGACTATGCCATTATCAGTGTGAGTGCCAGTACTAACATCTGAAAGTCATACAGCATGTACTGTTCCTGGCACCTAAAAGGGGTAGGGCATACTGTGAATTTAGGAAAATAACTACATCTAGAAATGATCACAGTGGCAATTCTGTAAAGATGAAAAGTGCTACCAGCATTTTTAACAAAATTAAAACATGGTTCTGCATGGTCCCGCAACACACCCGCACACACAGAGCCGTGGACATCTGCTGGCTTTATCTTAGACTGAGATCCATGACAAAGTTAATGCGAGTTAACTGCTCATGCTGACTTTCCTGTTTCTTCTCTGTGTTGGAACCAACAAAACTTCCAGGCTCACAGCATAAATCCCCCCAGGACAGTCCAATTCCCTGTATTATTTTTTTTTCCTCCTGAGCAAGATGAATGTGACACTGTATATCACTAAACATGCTCATGTATGAGAGATATAAACTGTGTGCTAATATTTTTAAATCCAAAGGTTATTGCAGTTCAGAATGTACAGTTGTAGTGTTTCCCTAGCCTGTGTGGTAGATGGCTACAGAAATGTGGCTCCAGCCCCATTAAATAGTTTGTTTGGATGAGGAAATTCAAAGTGCTACATTTGCAAACAAGTAAATTTCCTGAGTAAACTCTGAACTCTAGACAAAGAGTATGAAATTGTGTGAGCTAATGGGGACCGTCTCTTAATTGATACCAATGTAAGCAAGTACTGCAAATTAATTGAAGCTCTGACCTACCAGAACAGCGAGTAAAATTATTAATTGTGTAATATTGTTCTTGTGTGATTGTTCCACGGAACTGCTGCACCAAAATGTCTCTACTGTTCAGCACAGCGGAGAAAAAAAAAGATTATTAGCAATTTTTGGATAACCTTCAGAAGCAACATTCTCCTCCCTACAGTATATAATTCTCGTTTTAGTAGTATTTTTCTTTATTATTTGGCTATTCACAATGGGTGTCTAAACATTTACAGTCCTCTATTAACAGTGTTTCTTCCATAACAATCACACACTTTCATTTCAATTAGAGCTATTCAGTCTTCAGTTTTTCCACAATTATCGCAGGCCAATTCCCTCAGACTGCTCCCTTTTCCCAGCACTGTTTGTAACAATCCTGCCCCRAGCCAGGCAGAGAGAAAACTCCCCTGTCCCTCTCCCAGCCTCTTGCTCCAGTTTGTTTTCAAGCATCTCCGTTTGACGACGTGCCGTGGAGCCCSGCTCGCTCCCAGTGTGCTGCTGCCCTGCTTCATAAGCCTCCAAACTAATGTATATTTATTGTGGGAGAGTTTTCTGACAGCCCGTGCAGGGGGACGTGAAACATTAACTCCAAAGCCTCTGGGATCGGCCCCAGCAGCAGAGGCAGGAACTTGCAGGGCTGGAGCGTGTGTGCCTGTCCCACACACCGGAGCCAACGTGCGCATTCTGTGTTATGTGGACTCCGAGAGTGATTTGTTATAACTTAAACACATATCAAGACCAACACATTAAGTACAGTTACTGCTCCTTTTGTTTATCTAGTGTCCTATTTTATGGTGCAGAACTAAACAGTGTCCTCTGGATTTAACTATGAAACCGGCCAAATTGATTTCAGAAAGACTTCTTCGGAGCAACAGAGTGATAAGGCATAAACTGCTCCTAAGTGCAGTGCTAGATAAATCCTTTTAACAGTCTTCAGATCAGTTAACAGGGTAAGTAAATCACATATCACTGTTAGCAGATTTATGGGAGAGAATTAATAGAATCAGACGAGATAATCTGGTAGGGATAAAATTGCTGAGGAAACAGTCCTGCCTTATATTGGAGGGTATGAAACAACAGTCTGATTACTGGGAGTCGTTATGGATTGGTGAATTRTGAGCTAAATCATCATAAGAGTAATTCAGTATTTATTAATTCTTTTCTCTTTAAACAACTCACAGACGCAAATGAAAGCCTCTCTCTCTTTGAAGACACATTCTTTATATATTTTTATTGGATGTAATTTACTATTTGCATTACCTGTATTTACTTCATAATTGAACATTTTGCATTCAAATTTATGTAATGCATTATGCTTGAGAATATATTTCTCCCTTATTAGCATAAATAGTCACTTACCTCATGAATTACTAACAAAGTTTATCTGAAAATATAAGTATATTTTTTATTAAGTGGAACACAAACATATGTRCAATAAATTCTGATTTGCCAGTAGTTGTTACAGAAACACAGAACAACCCTGTATCAGAGAAGGGAGAAAAGAAGGAGCAGCAAAGAAGCAGAACCAATTACTGTGTGTGTATATGTGACAATAATTTCTTCTGTCAATATTTTGTTTATTTTTAATAAAGGATGAGTGACTCAAAGCTTTGCTTTAGAAGGAGCAGATGAAAAAGGATCTCCAGGATCAATTTCTTCTCTGTCTTCCCCCAAAATTTTCCAGTGGACTTGGCTCCGTGGTGCTGTGCCCCTGCAGCCTTTGCTCTGGCGGAGCTCCTGCTGTCCTGCTGCATGCCATGAATGGATGCTGCTCTACACTCACTTTCTCACACATTTCCCTTTTCCCYCTAATCCTGTTTTTATGCTTGGGTTTACATCCAAATAATCAATATAATTTAAGCCCATTCTGCAGTATTAACACAACCTTGCTTATTCAGAGAAAACCCCAACCCTATTGACTTCAAAAACGGTGGGATTGAATCCTTGATCCCATTGAAACCAGTGACAAAACTTGTATTGATTTCAGTGGAAGCAGGATCAGGTCCTTGATGTTAGCAATTTGTTTATGTCAGAGGGCTGATCCTACAAGAAATGAAAGATCTGCTGGCTGGAAATCAGGTCTGCTCCCCAAAATCCAAAGGCAAAATTCCCAGTTAAGCCGCGGCGGATCTCCTTTACGCTCAGGTTTTAGCAGCRTGGTGGGATGCCTGTATAATTTTGTCTGGACGCAGAAAGCTGGTCCTCCTGGGAGCATTCAAATGAGCACATCTATAAATGTAGCACAGCAAAATGAGCTACTTTTGCCACTCTCGCTTTTCCCAAGCCCGGCACAATCCATTTCTGTGACGACAGTTTTCTGCCCCGTACGCATCCAATACTGCTCTTTTATTTTAAGGCTGAGAAAATCTTCCCTTTAAACTCACGCTGAGCATCAAATTGGACTCCACTTGCAGCTGAACATCTTGGCTGTCTCTTCCTTTCCTCCATCAGCTCCAGTATATTTTATGTAGAATTCTCCCTRTTAATGAAACTTGCTTCTCTCTCCRCTTTCCAGTTTTGTATTAATGTTACCRAATCCACCAGACTYRCTGCATTTCACAACTGTGSAGAAGGAGAAAAAATAAAAAAAAAGTATTTATTTTCCTATACAGTCTCCTATTTGGTCATTCTGC